CCCCCCACCACTTTTTAATAATTGGATGTAAGTTTCATAAAAGTGCTTGGTGGCCCTGAGATTTAGTCCTCAATTTGGTTTCATTAGTCCTCAAAAGGACTGTTTAATAATCATCTTCAAAATTGCCTTACTGCTGCCTCTTCCTCACTATCACTGATGCTCTCCATGTCATTTTCTTCTAAATAGCCATTGTAGTATGCAATTTAACCGCCTTTCTGATTATTGATGATCTAAAGTGCACCAGCCATTGGACCAACAAGGTAAACTGAAGATTTTGCAGAAGTCAGCAAATGATGATGCTTTGAAATTCAAAGAATCACTGATGACCATTGCAGGTGAAGAATCCCTTCATATACTCAACTTACCAACATATTGGTACTTGGCCTTGTGCTGGGCCTGCTGGTGAAAGGTGCAGCTTACCATCAAGAGTTACAAGAATACCTGTAATCCCCAATTTTTGAACCTAGGGGGGGGGGCTTTTGGCAAGGGGGGCTTTTGACCTAGGGGGGCTTTCCGGGGGGGCTTTTGGCAGGGGGGCTTTTGGACTACTACCATCTATAATACCCTTTTATTTCCATCCACACAGACATTATGCCTATCAGTTGCGGAATGACACCATGGAGCACGAGCTGGTGAAGGGTCCCTCCAGAGGCACCATGTACATCACCTCCCTGTACTTCACCATGACTTGCATGACGTCCGTGGGCTTTGGAAACGTGGCTGCCGAGACAGACAACGAGAAGATATTCACCATTTGCATGATGGTCATCGGGGCCCTGTTGTCGGCGACCATCTTTGGCCACGTGACGACCATCATCCAGCAAATGACTTCTGCTACCGCCATCTACCACGACATGCTCAACAACGTGCGGGAGTTCATGAAGCTGCACGAAGTGCCCAAGGCACTCAGTGAACGGGTCATGGACTACGTGGTGTCCACGTGGGCCATGACTAAGGGCATCGACACGCAGAAAGTGCTCAGCTACTGTCCCAAGGACATGCGGGCAGACATTTGCGTCCATCTCAACAGGAAGGCAAGTTTTTTCTTCCTGTTTGCACTTCCATTCAAGCATTTTTTTTGTTGTTGTTGTGGGAAACAGAGAGGAATTTCAGGAAATTGTAAATGGTGTGGTATTCTGGGTTTTAAATTGATTTTTAGCTGAGTTGGCTGGATGCTGAAATTGGAGGCAGGGGTTCATTTGCCCAATTTAGTCTTTCAATTTTTTTCAGAACACATCAAACTTCATATTTTATTGTCAAGAAAATAATAGTTGATGGGCCTTAGAAAAATTTAGTAATTGAGATTTTAAAAGAAAAAATGTGCAGTTTGAGAGGCTTTTAATGCATTGTTTTTAGGGGAATTCAGAAGAAAAGAAATAATTAGGGAGGTATTTGACTTAGGGAGGTTTGAGTTATCAACGTTCAACTGTAATTATAACTGCAACAAGATATAGGTGTACCAAACAAAATTTGCAGTATTTTACAGTAGAATCTTGTTTCAACAAATCTCATTCTTAAAAATGCCATATTTGATTGAGTATCAGATGCCCTTGAGTGGGTTTTCAGTTGAAATTTTTGATGAAATCCTATCCCCAGCAAGTAAAACGCACACCCCATATTTAATGACTCTTGAACCACAATATTTAAAAAATAAATAGCAACCAAATTTGACTTTTGACAGAGATTGAATTTAAAATTGTATAATATTCAATTATTCCCAATAGAATAACTTTTTTATTGAACTTGGTTCAAAAACTATCATTGTTATTAAATACAGTCAACCATTGATTGTGTGCACCCAAATCATTTTCTAATGAATTTGAATTAGAAAAATGGTTTCTAGGACAAAGGGGTTCAAATTGTGAAAAATTGTCTCTTTTATTGACCTTGAGGAAATATGGGATTTCTGATTTTGGTGTCCATGATTTGTGCTATCCTTCCACTTGTCATTTTGAGGTTGTCTTTTTAGTTGCTGATGAATGTTTCACCCTCCATTTTTGTGCCACGCTTACTTAGAGCCACAACATATCCTGGGACAAATGGTGGCACTAAAATGGGGTTTGACTGTATATAATCCATACCCTAATTTCTCAAGAATTTTTTGAAATATATAAACCGGTGTCTGTAATGCACATTTTCCATTTTGTTCTCAAATCTGGGGATTCGCTGAATTTTATTGCTCTATTGTTTTTTTTTGTTTTCTCCCTTTCTTTCTTTCTTTCTTGGGTGTGGGTGTGCGTGTGAATTAGGTGTTCAACGAACATCCGGCATTCCGACTGGCATCAGATGGTTGCCTCCGAGCCCTGGCCGTCCATTTCCAAATGTCCCACTCGGCCCCCGGCGACTTGCTCTTCCATGTCGGGGAATCCGTGGAATCCCTGAATTTCGTCGTTTCCGGTTCGTTAGAAGTGATTCAGGATGACGAAGTGGTCGCCATCTTGGGCAAGGTAAATCCCCACCACACACACACACACACACACACACACACAAACGAACCCCATTTTGCTTCGATTCCCAGCACCCACTGTACCGCCAAAAAGGAGAACCCTGATGGTGCCCGGCTCTGGTCTCTGAGTAATAATCAACATGCCTGGGGTTTCCTCCTTCATATATGTTCTTTTGTGCTTTTGGGTTGTGTCTTGTGTTGAGGAATAATGAATGAACAGAACACTTTATTTGCTGCTTTTCAGCGTTCACAAGGTTCAATCAAGATTTCCACAACAAAAATAAAAGAAAATGCAATCCACAAAATACAACTGGACATCTGACATGTATGCATACACCCATTCATTCCCTGACTTTGAAAACAAAAAAATATGTAAAAATTAATTTGAAGCACAAGGTCTTCAGCTTGTTTCTGTATGAGGTTTAGTTGAATGAAAAATTTAGAGAGAATCTTAGATGAGAAATCATATAAGGCCAACAGTTTATCTTGATCCTTTGAGATTTCAGAAAGGGTCTCTTCATTTAATTCCAATACTTGTAAATCTTTCTTAAGCTTGCTTGGGAATAATTATGCTTTGATTTAACCCATTGTGTTTCTCCAAACAAAAAATATAAAAAATTCTTTTTTTATTATTATTTTTGGAAGCCCGTCGATATCATCCGGGCAAATGCTTGCGGAAGCTGATTTTTGTACAATGAATTCTGGTTTACAAGATTATTACTAATTATCTTGCAGGTCCCGGCAGTACATGAAAAATTTATTCGAGTCAAATCAAAAATATTCTAAAACTTAAATGCATATTTTTCAAGCCAACACTTCAAATCCATGCCACGTAGACCGTTTGAGAAATTTTGATCTGCAAGATGATTTCTAATTTTCTTGCATTTCCCTGCAATACAGCAAATTTTATTTCAGTCACGCTAACATTATTTTTGAGCTAAAATATATTTTTAATGTCAGAATTTTTACATTTTAACACTGTGTTAGATGTTTTAAAAAATATGCTCAGCATGATAGAACGAAAATTTTAATCAAAATTTTGAGGAAGCAAGTGTTGTGCATAAAAAAAATGCTTGCAACCATTTTTTTTTGGAAAAACAATCAAGTTCTCCAGGTTTCAGTTTTAATTCTTGAAATTCGCTTTAAGTCATTTCAAGTCTTTGAGCAAGCAAAAAATGAATAAACTCTTGGTTCCCTAGTTCAAAATGCTTTTGAATATCAGGAAGCAGAAATGTTTATTCAAATTTTAAATTTAATGATGATAGGGTTGGACCCTCTCTACAATGAAATTCAAGGGACCAGAAAAAATTCATTGTAACGTGCACATTTGTAGAGAGATTTTTGCTGTGGAGAACCCCTATATATAAGATTAGGAGAGGACCCCATGGGACCACAGAAAAAAAATTGTATGCAGAAAAGAATCGTTGTAGACCAGATTGTTGTGTACAGTAAATAGAGAGTCCACCTGTAAAGTGCTGCAACACACAAGCTTGAAAGGTTATTCAAAAGTAGTTTTTGTATCTGGAATGGACTGAATATTTTTTGAATTGCTGTTATCAGATAAAATAATGTTTTTGTCATAAATGAACTACATTTGCATAACAAAAATCAAACCATTATGAATGATTTCAGTTCATGCAAAAATTGTTTGACCACGGGTCACCAAAATTTCACAGCATGGACACTGACTTGGTCTCATACTTGCGAATGTAAATGACTGGCCCTCATTTTTTTTTTGAAAGCATGGTTTGTCAAATTTCATTTCCTTTTTCTCCTGTTTAAAATTCCAGGGTGATGTGTTTGGGGATGACGTATGGAAGGACCACACCACTGGGCAGTCTGCTTGCAATGTCAGGGCTTTGACCTACTGTGACCTGCATGCCATCAAGCGAGACAAGCTGATGGAAGTCCTTGAGTTTTATCACGCTTTTGCAAACTCTTTTTCACGAAACCTGACTCTGACGTACAATTTGAGGCACAGACTGATTTTCAGAAAGGTAGGTTGGATATGAAAGAAAGGGGAAAAAACAGTGATGTATTGAACTTGGAAATTTGACCATTTTATTTTATTCCCACAGGTTAGTGATGTTAAGAGGGAGAAGGAGTTGGCAGAGCGCCAAAAGAATAACCCCATGGAGGAACTGTCACAGGATCACCTAGTGAGAAAGTTATTCTCCAAGTTCAGAAGAGCAGGACCTGCAACCCAGGGACCAACCACAGCCACAAGCTCAAAGCGCCAGGGAAGTGTGGAAGGGGATGAAGAAGTTGGTGCCACACCACCACCACCACCACCACCAGGTGTGGGTGACTCCACTCCCCCAGCAGGGACCACTGCTGCTCCACTGGCACTACCTGCTCCACCTGCCACCAGCTCTGTAGTGTCAGAGGTACCAGGAGGAGCCAAAGAGGCTGAGACCACTAGTGCACTACCAGTGGTCAAGGTAGGCTTCAAAAAGCCACTTGGGAAGGGCAAGTGGGCGTCTTTGTTGGGAGGACCTGCAGCAGCGCCCTCTGTGGCCACAGCTCCACCTGCAGACCATCCAGAGACCATCAAGGAGGAAACTGAGCCTGATACCCCAAAGCCTCAGGCACCGCCTTCATCACCTCTGATACCTGCCTCAGGGCAAGATCCCATCCTTGCAGCCATCTTGGATTTCAAGAAGGAGATCAAGGGTGAGGTGCAGAAACTTGGGCACAGGCTTACCAACCTTGAAAGCAGAGTGGAGCACCTCAACAATCAGTTCCCTCCACTGAAAGCACCACCTGACTTGTCCCCAGTCTGAAAAAAAGCCAACTTTTTTTTTTTTGTGACAATGGGGTTTTCTACATATTTTTGTGTCTCTTTGCTATAGCAGTGTGTGAAAACCCAAAATGGGAAACAGTTTCTTGTGCATGCAATACTTGTTACCCTGATATACAGCAAGGTTACCCCATGATGTATTCAGAAAAGGCTGTTGATTATTCTTGTGAGCAAAAGTCTGGAACAATACTCTCTAGGGTAGAACAGTGCCAAAGATCCACTCTTGTGCCAACTGTCAGGGAAAGGTCAAGAGGACAATCCACACTTTTCTTCTTAGCAATCAAAACTCCTGAGACATTTGATGAGTGAAAAGCAGTGTTTTTGAAAGGTTTAGGAACTGTTACCCTTCAATGAACTGGAAATATATATGTGTTGCATTGTACTACAAAGTTTCTGGACAAAGTTTCTTACCCACGACCTGAATTCAAATAATACTGATGAGCATCAATAACTTTGGAAGCAATCCAGTCTTCTGCATCAAGGTTCAAAAAATGGTCTAAACTTTTTTTTGCTTTTTTCAATTTTTGTTTTTGTTTTGAACCCATAGATGGTAGTGATGTTTCATCATGTAATGCCAGTGCCCATAGTTTTGTGTGATCAACCCCTTCAATCTGAACAAATTTCACCAAAATCTAAGGTAGGTGAGCAGAGGTATAATTCTAGAAATATTTGAATGAGTTTAACAAGGAAAATCTTGAATCTCTTACAAGTCATCAGGTGAATATCTTTGTTCAATAAATGTAGAAGAACCCATTGTAAGGGAAGTATTTTCTGTGGCTTCCAAAAATTGTTGATGGCAAAAATGAAAATGTTTCATTTATGATGCACAGTGCGACCCCAAGATGCAGACATAATTGGTGCATCAAGAGTGGCCTGATGTCAGAATGTGCCCAAGTTGAGTCTCATTTTCCATTGGACTTCAATGTCAATTTATTTAATTGTTTTTTCCTTTTTTGAAAAATTGGGAATAAAACCTCAAAAATTCAATAAAAATTGTTTCCCTCAACTTCAAGTTGCATAAAACAGTGCATGACAGCCACTTAGAATCTGATCTTTTTGGCATCAAAAGGAGACCAAAAAGCAAAGAAAAATAATAAGTCTTGCTAGAATATGTACATATGATAGGAAAAAAACTCTGAAAAAGAAACACAAAATTGGCTTGCTTTTGACAATGAATTAGGAGTAAATTTATCATGAAAAAATGTTTTCAATCTTTTGTATATAAATTGCTTAATTTTTTCAAGAGGTATAAAAAATTTTTTAACAAATGTTTTGATTTTTTTGGAACATTTCAGGAAAGTGTCACTACCTCAATCCAATGTCTGGATTTTGGGCATGATTTATTGGGTCTCCAAGTGTCCTTAAGTCAAATTGTCCATATGTTGGGGTGTCTGCACATCAGGGTCTCACTGTGTTTAAGGTTTTGATTCTCATGGCAAAATATTTTGGAAAAATATCCCTGTATATTCCTACAAAAGGGTGTCAAAATTTTGCTTGCAATGCCAAGCAAATCTTTCAACTTTTTGGAAACTCAGTGGAAACCTTTGGTCAAACTGAGATGCCCCTCACCCAAAAAAATCTTGACTTGGCTGCTGGATGACCAGAAAGCCTCTGCTGTCTGAGGGTTAACAGAGTTTATGTGTATGCATGTGTGAAGATTCCCAAATACTGTACAGCGAGAGTAATTTCCCCAGAAATGATGAAGAAATTTTTATATCGCAATAAATGCAGACACTATGTACATGAATCCCATATTTTGTGGTAAGAAAGCACCACCACTATGCATGAAAACATTCAACCTTTTATAAATGTTACTTTACCACTTAGAGCTTTTACTTACAATTTGCATGAATTGCACTCTTAAGTGCATTATAAAGCACACTAAATAGGTGTATGTCTTTTTAAAAGCCCAGCTTCTCAATGCAAACTGTTTTGGGCAATTTTTGAAATTTCTGCAATGCTCAACCAAAATTTCTGCAAAACTCTCAATTTTTATAATTTATAAATGCACTTAGACAGATTTATCAGTCAGTTTTCTTTCTATTGTTCCTTGGTGTATGTTTCAAGAAGATCCTTTCACTCACTCACAGACTTGACCCATTTCTAGAGAACCCTGGGATCTGATATTTTTTTATGCCCCCTTCAAGATAGAAGGGAACATGGATGAAATGGATGCTAGCAGAAGATACGCAAGATGCATTGTTGGCTCAGGACAGTGTTGACAGCTGCAATTCCCACCCCCACTCCCAGCAGCCAGGGGTGTTTATTCCTGTTCCTAGAAATGTTTCTAGAGGAGCTTGACACTTTGTTTGCCCAATCTGTTGACTGCGGTAGTAGACAGTGTCCAGAAGACTCGACTTTTACCAGATCTGGGAACATTTTCTTGGCCGTAGGATCGGTTATTTTTCATCTTTGTGTTTCTCACATACATTTTCATCAATCATCATTTTCTGTAGTAATTCTATATTTACTTTTTTTAATGGTGGACTGGTTTCTGGTTTTAAAAACGGGTGGTTCGCATGTATTAAAATTGATGGTAAAGTAAAATCTTACCTTTAAAAATGCCCAAGGACCTTTAAAACATTTTTGCATAAAATTGTTTTTCTCAAGATTCATGGTTTTCAACTCATTTTCATCAAACATTTGGGGGAAATGGGCAATAAATATGGTAAAATGCTTTCCAACCAGAGACTTAAAGCAGTGTCATAGGTAATAAATATTTCTGATGAAATCAAAAGAAAACTTTTGAAATAAATAGTAATCCTTTTTTATTTAACCTGAATTAAACCTAAACTAAAGTATCATTTGTCTTGAAAAAAATGAGAAAACATTAAATGTGGCATAGAAACACGGTTCCCTACTTCTTTCTGAATCAACTCATTTGTTCATATCTGTCTTTTCAGTTGGCTCAGGACAGTGTTGACAGCTGCAATTCCCACCCCCACTCCCAGCAGCCAGGGGTGTTTATTCCTGTTCCTAGAAATGTTTCTAGAGGAGCTTGACACTTTGTTTGCCCAATCTGTTGACTGTGGTAGTAGACAGTGTCCAGAAGACTCGACTTTTACCAGATCTGGGAACATTTTCTTGGCCGGAGGATCGGTTATTTTTCAGCTTTGTGTTTCTCACATACATTTTCATCAATCATCATTTTCTGTAGTGATTTTATATTTACTTTTTTTAATGGTGGACTGGTTTCTTGTTTTAAAAATGGGTGGTTCGCATGTATTAAAATTGATGCTAAAGTAAAATCTTACCTTTAAAAATGCCCAGGGACCTTTAAAACATTTTTGCAGAAAATTGTTTTTCTCAAGATTCATGGTTTTCAACTCATTTTCATCAAACATTTGGGCGAAATGGGCAATAAATATGGTAAAATGCTTTCCAACCAGATACGTAAAGCAGTGTCATAGGCAATAAATATTTCTGATGAAATTAAAAGAAAACTTTTGAAATAAATAGTAATCCTTTTTTATTAAACCTGAATTAAACCTAAACTAAAGTATCATTTGTCTTGAAAAAAATGAGAAAACATTAAATGTGGCATAGAAACACGGTTCCCTACTTCTTTCTGAATCAACTCATTTGTTCATATCTGTCTTTTCTTCCAAATAGAGAAACATTTTTTCTAGAATACCATACTTTTCATTTGAAAGGGAAGCATACATATTCTGAAATATAGATGGAGAAATTCAAATAAATGTGTCCTGTTGTACAGTCAACCCCCGTCTAATGGACTTGATTCATGCAAGGGACAAGTCTGTTAAACAAAAAGTCCTTTACATGAATTCAATTACATAAAAATTTAAAATTTCAATTTTCAACACTAATTTTAAACCAAAAGAAGTCTGTTAAGTGGATTTTGTCTGTTGGGCGGGAGGAAAAACTGCTTGCAGAGCTGGTCTGTTTGGCAAAAATCCCTTACACAGGAGGTCTGTTAGGCGGGGGGCCACTGTATTGTTTTAAGGCTAAGTTTTCTCTGTGCAAAAAGTTTTGCTTCTTGGATGAATTTTGAATGCTGCACCTTTTTCAGCTTATCTCATTTTTCTAACATTTATCAAATAATAATCCCTATGGCCTGTGTATACAGATTAAAGGACACATGTTTGTTATATTCATATTAAAGCCTGAAAATGACTTGGCTATAATGAGATGTTTTAGACATTATGCCTACGGAAAAAAAACTGCAAGAAAAAATTCTTTGTAACGGAATTCTATTTACATCATTCTTACATGCAAGTCGTGATCTTGAATAAGAAGTCCTCCCTCAGGCCCTCGATTTAAATTTGGTAACCAAACGCCACATTCTTTGTTTTTAAATTTGATTGTCCGCTGCTCCGTCGAGATCTTTAAAATTTTTATATTTACGACTCAAAATTTAAATAAAATATTACATGAATAAGTCTTTGAAGAAAGACCATGAGTTTCGTTCAATTGATTTCTATACTCAATTTAAATCGTAATGCAGGCAACAACCAAAGAAAAAAAAGAGAAACGCGTGAACCATCACTATATTCAACGTCGCATTATTCAAACCTGCCAAATTTGCTGTCGGAATAAGTTTCTCTTTGAATATAACTTCGGTCCACATTTGCGCGTCTCTGAAAATTATTCGAAAGTTAAAGTATTCCGGAATATTCTGTGAGTACTATATACACCCATCAGCAGGTGACAATATTCGGAAGAATTCAATACATAAATAGATACTCTGCCGAAAGCCTCCACGTTTTATTCTATTGCTCCTGAATTTCTTATAATATACTACGTCAAAACGCTGTACAGTACAGTACAGTACAGCGAGAAGTTCCCATCCAGGAAATTAGGCTCTTTTGTGGAAAAGAAAGAAGAAAAAAACCCACACCATGCAATAATACAGCGGGGGGTTCATTTTAATGCGTGCCTCTGCGAATAATATACATCACACCATCACATGCGAGTCGGGGAGAGTGAAAGAAAAAGGAAGATATACGAGAGCGTCTGTGTGTG